TCCCAGGCCAGTCCCTCCCAGCATTTCACCTCCCCAGAAGTGGTGATCCCTTTGAAGGTTATCAGCAGGGACAAAAGTGCAGAGGCTCTGGGTTGGCTCTCCTATAGTCTGCGGTTTGGAGGCCAAAGACATGTTGTCCACATGAAGGCCAAGAAGCTGTTAGTTTCTCCACACCTCCCAGTGCTCACTTACACAGAACATCATGTCCTCCATCAGGATCAGCCCTTTATCCAGGATGACTGCTACTATCATGGTTTTGTGGAGGGGATCTCTGAGTCCCTGGTTGTCCTCAGCACCTGTTCAGGGGGCTTTCAAGGAATGCTACAGATAAATGAACTTGCTTATGAAATTAAGCCTATTAAACTTTCTGCTACAAATGAGCACTTGGTGTATAAGATAGACACTAATGATACACAGTTCCCACCTAGGGGATGTGGGTTAACAGAAGAGAAAATAGCACGTCAATTGGAATTGCAAATGTCACATATTTTCACTCTGAAACAAAGTTCTTATGTGGGCTGGTGGACTCACTCACGGTTTATTGAGCTAGTAGTGGTTGTGGATCATGTTAGATATGTTTTCTCCCAAAGCAATGTGACCATCGTGCTGTTTGACGTCATTAATGTTCTCAGTATAGTGGATTCCTTATTTGACCCTTTGGAAATTGATGTAATTTTGACTGGGATGGAGGTCTGGACTACAAGAAACCCAATTGATACCAGTATTGACTTAGATCTAGTTGTGGAGCAGTTTACACTTTGGAAGCTTTTTCAACTTGATGCCCGGCTGCATCATGATGCTGCACATCTTTTCATAAAAGAATTAAATAGCTCAAAACTTGGTGTTGCCTATGTTAATGGAATATGCCAAAGTCCTTTTAACTCTGGAGCTGATGTTTTTGAAGACAATAGCTTATACCTTTTTGCACTTACTGTGAGCCATGAGCTTGGCCATAATTTGGGTATGGTGCATGACACTCGATGGTGTGTGTGTGCATTACAGTGGTGCATAATGTATGCATATAGAAAGGTGACAAATAAATTTAGCAATTGCAGTTATGCCAATTTTTGGGACAATAATATGAATACATGTATTTATCCTCCTCCATATGCAAGGAATATCTTTACRTTGAAGTATTGTGGGAATCTCGTAATTGAAGAAGGAGAGGAGTGTGACTGTGGAACTATACATCAGTGTGCCAGAGATCCTTGTTGTCTGCCTAACTGCACTTTGCGTTCTGGAGCTTCTTGTGCTTCTGGGCTTTGTTGCAAAGACTGTAAATTAATGCCATCAGGGACTTTATGTAGA